AGGTTTTTGTGTGAACATATGTTTTCAGTTCACTTAGGTGAATACTAAGGAGCATGATTGTTGGATCATATACAAGAGTATGGTTAATTTTGTGAGAAACTGGCAGACTGTCTTCCAAAGTGGCTGCACCATTTTGCATTCCCACCAGCAATGGATGAGAGTTCCTGTTGCTCCACATCCTCTCCAGCATTTGGTATTGTCAGCGTTTTGGATTTGGACCATTCTAATATGTGGGTAATGTTTTAATTTACAATTTCCTAATGACATATATCAAGCATCTTTTTCATATGCTTTTTGACATGTATATCTTCTTTGTTTGAGGTGTCCAGGTCTCTTTCTTATTAGAAAATTAGGATGTTTTTATTGTTGAATTTTAAAGAGTTCTTTGTATATTTTGGATAATCACTTTATCAGACGTTTTGCAAATATTTTCTTTTTGTTTGTGACTTATCTTCATTATCTTGTTATGCTCTTGACAGTGTCTTTTGCAGGCTTTTAAATTTTAATTAAGTCCAGCTTATAAAGTATTTAAGATTCATGCCTTGTGTATTATATCTAAAATTAATCACCATACTCAAGGTCATCTAGATATTTTCCTATTATTATATAGGAATTTAAAGGTTTTGTGGGAAGACTAAAGGGTCTGAAGGTCTGTTTCTAGTTTTTTTTTTTTTCCTGGAAGAAGCTCAGGAAACAGAAGCAGATGGAGGCTGGTGTTAGATCCAGCTCTATCCCCACTGCACTCATCACTCTGGATTATATTTTTGTGCTAATCTGTGTTCCCATGAGACAGGGGGACAGGTGGGCCCAAATCTGGGTGGCAGACCCTCAATTGCTACTTCCTGATGAATATGTAAATGAGCCTCTGGGATGCATTTTAGAGCATAGAACACCACCGTCTTCAGATGCCTGGCTGAGCAGGGCCTGGTAACTGCTTAACCAGTGGTCAGCTCCTCAAGCCCTTAGGGACGTGGCGCTTCCTCAAGGGCAGGATGTGGTGTTGTTTTGCTTCTGTTTTGGGAAGTTATTCTTGTTTCTTTAAAGAGATAGTGAATTCTCTCATGTCAGAGACTGTGGAATGTGCTTCTTTCATGGGAGATGCAGAAAGCTATGAAACATGAAACCAGCTGTCTGAAGCGGAATTGAAAGGGGACAGGGAGAGACGGGCAGGCAGGAGGAATTTATTTTGTGCTGGCTTGCAAGCTGCAGAGCTGCAGCTTTCCATCCATATTACATTAACTCATCCTCACCTGCCCCACCCCCAAAGACTCTGAAGACAGTATTATTATGCCCATTTAAAAAATATTAAAAACCAAGGCACAGAAAGACTGTATCATCCTGGGGCATGGTTATGACGTGGCAAAGCTTGGTTTGAACACTGGTGTGACCTCCCTAGTCTAGAGTTGTTTGTGCTGAGATGGGACCAGTAAACATGAGGAGGCTGATGTGTACCCTTGTATTTAGTACTAGATTCTAAATGAGTCTTCTCAGACATGTGCAACTTACAAAAGATACATCACAGTTGTTGGAATTCCACAATTTGGAAGAAGAGGCAATAACTCCTTAAAGAATTTTTGTATCATTTTATGTCAATAGAAATTTTAAATATTTTAAATATATGACATACTGTATTCCAGGCAAAAATGCTAAGTGCTTTGCACATCTTACCTCATTTAATACACACACACACACGTGATCCAGTGAGGCAGGTGCAAATATCATCCCCATTTTGCAGATGGTAAAATTAAAGCTAAAAATACCATACAGCCAAGAAAATCTCAGAAAAGAACGAAGTTGGAGGACTCACACTTCCTGATTTCAAAACTTATTACAGAGCTACACTAATCAAAACTGTGTGGAACTGGCATAAAGATAGACATATAAACTGATGGAATGAAATGGAGAGCCCAATAAACCATTTCTGGTTTATTTGCCATATATGGTCGAATGATTTCAATGAGGGTATCAAGACCGTTCAATGGGGGAAAGGGCAGTCTTTTCAACAAACAGTGCTGGGGAAACTAGATATTCACATGCAAAAGAATGATATTGGAGCCTTACTTAACACCATATGCAAAAACTAACTCAAAGTGAATCAAAGACCTAAACGTAAGAGGTATTACTACAAAACTCTTAGAGGAAAACAGGGGGAAAAGCTTCATGATATTGGATTTGGTAATGATTTCCCTTTTATAACACTGAAGGCTCAGGTTAAAAAAAAATAAACAAATTTGACATCATGACAATTAAATACTTTGGTGCATCAAAAGTATTTAATAGTGTAAAGAGACAACCTACAGAGTGGGAGAAAATATTTGCAAATTATATATCCGATAAGGGATTAATATCCAGAATATACAGAGAACGCCTAAAACTCAACAATAAAAAATTCAACAACCCAATTCAAAAATGTGCAAAGGATTTGAATAGATATTTCATTAAAGAAAATATACAGTTGGCCAGTAAGTACATGAAAAGATGTTCAACACCTCTAATCATTAGGAGAATGCAAATAAAAATGATCATGAGAGAAAACCACACGCCTGTTGGGATGGCTAAGAACAACAAAGAAAAGAAAAGAAAAGGAAAGAAAAGAAAAGAAAAGGAAAGGAAAGAAAAGAACCAGCGTTGGTGAGCATTTGGAGAACTTGGAGCCTTTGTGCACTGTTGGTGGGAATGGAAATGGTGTAGCTGCTGTGGAAACGATATGGAGGTTTCTGAAACAATGAAAAATGGAACCACTATATGATTCAGAGATTCTACTACTGGGTATATTCTCAAAACGGGGTCTTAAAGAGACATTTGTACACTCATGTTTGTAGCAGTATTATTCACAATACCTAAAACATGGAAACAACCAATCCAAGTGTGCATCAATGAATGAATGGGTAAAATTCATTCAAAATTCAAAATGTGTATGTATAGAAGGAAATATTACTTAGATTTAAGAAGGAGGGAAATTCTGGCATGGGCTACGACATGATGAATCCTGAGGACATTATGGTAAGTGACATAAGCCAGTCAAGAAAAGACCAAGACGGAATGATTCCACTTACATGAAGAACCTAGAGTAGTCAGATTCATAGAGGAGAGAATAGGATGGTGGCTGCCAGGGGCTGGAGGGAGGAGAGGATGAGGCTGGTTTAATGGCTGTAGAGTTTTAGTTCTGCAAGGTGGAGAGAGTTCTGGAGATGTGTGGTAGTGATGGTTGCACAATAATGCGAATGCACTTACATCCACGGAGCTGTCCACGTAAGAGTGGGGAAGATGGTAACTTTTGTGTAATATATATTTTTACAAAATAAGAAAAAGTTAGGGGAAAAATATGGCTAGTACACGATTTACTCTGTCTTGAACTAGTTAACAGCAGCATTGGGATTTAAAGTCAGGTTTTTCTGATTCCAAAGCTATGCTGGACACATGGAGCATTGTGTCTGTTTGTGTGGCTCACGGTGGCTTGATTGAATATTTTGCCACCCAGGTGGTTGTGTGTGTGGCACGTGGCCATGTGGTCCCTGGAAAGCAGCCACCTGCAGCTAAAATTGATGCTCCATGCAGAGGGAGAGCAGGGGACCTCCAGGAAGAGCCTGAGGAGCCCCAGAAGAAACCATGGGGATGATGAGATGTGAGGTGAGCATGGAAATGATGCTAGTGATGAGCATGGCTCACATCTGCATTGCTCCATGACTGCAGAGGGAGGCAGAAGGGGACCTCCCTGGCCCTAGGCTCCTGTCTGCAGCCCAGCTCAGTGCCTCTGCTTCTGCTGCAGAGCAAGGCAGAAAGAAATTAGGCTCTGGCTGGAAAAATTAGGCAAGTGAGGTAGAACAAATCTCTAAGTATGCCTGGAAAATTCCACTGGTTAATTAGAAACGCCAAGGATGCTAACAGAGCAGACACAATGTTCACACGTGTGGTGAAATCTCTTACCTAGATCTGAAACCTTGCTTTTCAGATAAAGACACCGGGGTAGGGTGCAAGTCGCTTATCAGTCATACCAGCCAGCATGTAAGGACCGGCCGCGTGCCAGGCCCTGAGACAAGCCTGTTCTGTGCGGCTCCCCTACCTTTCCTCACTCTCAGGAGGTGGTGTTGTGGATTGCTGAGCCTTCTTCAGCTCAGCTCCTTCTTGGATTTTATGACATACCACA